AGACACCTTTAGAATATAACTATTGTGGTGTTAGCCACATTTATAGGATGAGCATTGTGGTTATTTGAATACATTTAGATGATGAGTATTGTGGTGTGTTAGACACGTTTAGAGGATGAGTATTGTGGTGTGTTGGACACGTTTAGAGGATGAGTAATTGTGGTGTGTTGGACACAATCCTCTAAACGTGGCTAACACCACAATATTTATATTCTAAAGAGTATTGTGGTATGTTAAAATATGTGTATTTGTTGAGTGTATTAAAACATTAGGATGATATTGATGGTTGTTTTCCAAGTAATTATGTTTATACTTTTTTTTTCTTCTAGATGTATAACTCTTCTATGCCAAATTCAAACATGGGTGACCAATATTCTTTTATGTCTAGTTATTTTGCTACCATGTCATTTCCTTACATGAACCATAGTGGTTTAGGAGAGGCTTTGAATGGTTCAGATCCAGTAACATTTGTTAGTGGTTGTGGTGGCCAACCCAGTGCTGGTGATCTGCATACACCATACAGAGATGGACTATTTGAACAGAATGGTTTCCAAGGTTATGGCCTGGGATTTAATTTCTTCCCTGGAACTGGGAGTGATTACTCAACATGGGGAGGTACTGGATTTGGACCCTGCAAGTCTGTGGACTTCAGTTATACAGAAGATCATAATCAAGAATGTTATGAACAGAACAAAGATCGAGCTTCATTTACAAAATTGGAACAAAGAATGAGTAATCTTACAGTCAAAGAGACAAAGACTGATGCCTCATTTATGGTTATGGACTCGCATATGGCTTCTGTCAGTGGTAATATTTCTCTGGGTAGACAGGGCTGTAATTCTTTCAACTCGGGAGTCTCAGGACAGCTAGATGGCTATAACAGATTGTCATGGTTATCTGTTGCTAGTAAGCCAGCTAGAATGAAATTCAAATCAGCACCCCTATTCTCGAATGAACATTGCTCTTTAAATATGGATATTGGTACATGGGAGAGTAAGAATGGTAGTGACCTTGGTGGTAGTCATTTGGGCACTCTCTCACCCTCTACTCAAACAAGACCTTCACCATGGGAAGTACAAAGAGGTGTAGCATCAGATGAACCTGTAGGTGAGCCATGTAACAACTTTTTCCAATCCTCACCCCATCAAATTCTTACTGTTGATCAACCTCTTCTTGGACCCGATGGCCTGCCATCACATCCAGTCCTTAACAAACTGAAACTGGAAAATAATTACAACCCAAAAGAGTTTGACTTGAACCATAAAGATGCAAGATTCTTCATCATTAAGTCATTTTCTGAGGATGACATTCACAGATCGATCAAGTATTCAGTGTGGTGTTCCACAGAACATGGTAACAAAAGATTGGATGCTGCTTTTCAAGAACAGAAGGGTAGGGGGCCAGTCTGTCTGTTCTTTAGTGTCAATGGTTCTGGACATTTCTGCGGAATGGCCCAGATGATGTCTGCAGTGGACTATAACACTTCAGTAGGAGTTTGGGCTCAGGATAAATGGAAGGGTCAGTTTAAGGTCAGTTGGATCTATGTAAAAGATGTGCCAAACTCGCAGCTGCGTCACATCAGACTAGAAAATAATGAAAACAAGCCTGTTACAAACTCTCGTGACACTCAAGAAGTTCCAGCAGAAAAGGGAAAACAAGTGCTGAAAATAATTCACAATTACCACCATAACACTTCCATCTTTGATGACTTCCTCCATTATGAAAAACGTCAAAAAGATGAACAAAGGAGATCACAGGTTAGTGAAAAAGTTAAAGAATGTATAAAAGTTTAAGAAAGAATAAATTGTAAACAGTCTTTCCTTGTGGCCTAAAATTTTCAAGAAACTACTACATTTATATCAGAAACGTTAATTATGTCTGATTATCTGTGAATAAATTGCTGTTCTGTATCATTCCATGTATTAAGTAATGAGGTACAAAGGGGTGGTGAGATGGACATGCAGTTCCTTATACGCAGTGAGGTAGAGTCTTACAAGCGGTCTGATGTTTTTTTCTCCTGACGGCTCTGAGGCTGAGTTTGTGGGAGATTAAGAGCGGGCTGGTGAGAATTTAGAATCTACTTACCAGCACCTTCCTTTACTCAGACAGCTACTCGTGAATCTCATACGAAAATTCTGCCTCCTGCACCCTTTTTGCAACTAGTATGCCATGTTTGTAATGTTTTGAGTACTTGTCCTGTGGCTTATGAATCTTCACCTTATTTATTGGGAGAAATTAGTTCATGTAATTACCTGGTCTTTCCACTTTTGCCAGACATTGATGTACATGCAAAGAGATTTGCAGATCAATTGAGGGAGGGTATTGCCATCTCTTGTCCTTTTCATTTATTGGATCAGCATGTCTTGGCTTTCCATTGTCTGTAGAATCCTTATTTGGACTTTCAGAGGTAAGACCCTCTGCTTCCTATTTGGGGCTGTAGACAAGAAGCCACTGTTCATCTTAGTCATTTTCTGTTTTTCAAAATTTGTCTGTCACTTACAATAGTTTTGCATTTTTTATATTCTTTGCAACTCTTGTCTGAGGCCTATCGTAGATCACCTGGTCAATTTTTGGAGGATCTTAGTAATTTATTTACTTCTACTTTGGTTGGGTTATCAGTTTCTGCCCCCTCCTTGATATCTTGGTAGGTTTGTTGTTGGAACCTTTTATGTGGTCCATTGCACGACATCAGGGAGTTCATCTTCCTACATTGGCCCTTAGAGATTTCAGAGAAGTTTCTTTTTTCAGACAGTCTATTTTTGAGGGAATTCCAGACTCCATGTAATCTCAAGTATATGTGGCCTGTTTACATTCTTCACTTTCTATACTGGCTTCTTGACTGTCCCACAGTTCTTCTACAGGACAGAACACAGCATCTCCCATTTATGTTTCCAGACATCATGCTTCGGCATCAGATCCATTGGAACACAAGGGCGATTTTGACCTTACCAGCAGGGATCCTCCACAGATTTTGGCATCAGTGACTACCTTACGGGGTCAGGTCCTGTGGGGTCTTGTCTCAGAAGGTTTATGTTAGTATGGGAGACATTCACATCGGATTAGTGGATCATTGAAGTTCTCAGGAGTGGATTAGTCATCCAGTTCATGTCTCCTCCTCCACTGTCTCTCATACCAGTTGGCTTTACACTTCTCAAGGACCCTCTTACTTCAAACTGTCGAGCACAATCCATCCAGGATCTTCTACAAAAAGAGGCCATAGAGTACGTCACTTCCTCTCTCAAGGGTTTTTACTCTCAGCTATTTGTAGTACTGAAAAAAGGGCAATTTATGACAGGTTATTGACGTTTCTCATCTCAATCATTTCAATATCAATGGAGTTGTTTCTTTCCTTTCGGGGGCTCTTTTCATCCAGACTATGGATGACAAAATTTGACATTGCAGATACCTACCTTCATATCCCAATCATCAAGTCTTCAAGGTGTTATGCTCTACAATTTGGCCTCACATCTGCTTTATACATTTTTTGCCGGAGAGTGAGAGCTTTTTCATATCATCTTCTCTCCTTTGACATTCAAACTCACCTTTACATGGACGACTGGCTTCTTCTCACCCCTTCCCACAAATTGGCTGAACTGCACACTCCAACTCTGTTATCAGAAGCTGCAAGAACTGGGCTTCTTATCAAAAAAGGAGAAATTATTTTTACTCCCACACAGTAACTCATCCATTGGGTGTTTCTCAATTACAGACTAAGTTGGGCCCAACCTTCTGTTCTATGCCTTTAGGCCATAGAACAGGTGGTACTTTAAATACAGTTGTCTCCTTCTCCACCAGCACACACAGTTCTATCTCTTTTGGGGATGTGGGCATATTTAGAATCACTCATTCCTTTAGGCCAGGCCCACACGAGGGCCCTTCAGTGGTTGTTACGGGACTAGTGAAACATTTGCACAGATGAGCTGGATTGTCCAGGAGACTGTCAGATTCCAGTTTGCTAGATCTGAGCTGGTGGTTGAACAGGGACAACACAAAAGTATGTGTTCCTCTACCACTCCATGGCCAGAGATACATCTGTTCACAGATGCTTTTCTTCAGGGCCGGGGTGCTTGTATTGATAATTTGGAATTCAAGGGACTTTGGACAGTAGAGGAAGCTTCTCTCCACATCAGTCTCATTGAACTTTTAGCAGTTCAGTGAGCTATGACTTAGGGTTTTGAATTGTTGCGAAGAAGGTGGTAATGCTTCATTTTGACAATTCCACAGTAGTCTCATACAATTCAAAACAAGGGGGTACTCACTCCAGATATCTTTGTTTTCTAATAGTGGATCTTCTCCTTTGTGCACACAAACACCAGATTGTTCTCCTTGTTTGTTATGTTCCAGGGGTAATGAATCTAGTGTTCAACCAGTTATCTCCTCCCAACAGAGCTCTTTCTACAGAATGGATGCTTCATTCTCAAGTTTTCATTGGATCTGCTCATGTCTAGGGGCACCACACATCAATGTTTTCACCACACACATTGGAATGCTCAGCTCCTGTCCTTCTGGTCTCCAGTACCTCACCATCTGGCTTTGGGAGTAGATGCTCTCAGCCAGTATTGGATGGGTCTTCATCTTTATGCGTTCCTCCAGTTCATCTGCTGTCCAAGATTTTGGCACTGATTTGCTCCATGCCCTGTCGAGTTTTTCTGGTGGCACCATATTGGCCAGGTCAACCCTGGTTTCTACTCCTCCAGTATCTTCAAGAATGTCCATCTTTTCCTCCCTGGCCATCTCTCTTGCATCAGCTTTGGTTGGACATTTTTCATCCAGCACTCAGCATTCTTTGACTTCATGCCTAGCTTTTATGTGGTCCATTGCACGACATCAGGGATTGATGCCTCAAGTGGCATCCTTATTAACACATTCCATTCAACATTCTTCTTTGAAAGTTTATCAAACAGAATGGTTTACTTATCATCAATGGTCTCTCAGACATGGGTTTTACCCTTTGCATCCCACTATGCCATATCTCAATTTTTGATATGGTTGTTTGACAAAGGTTTGCCACCATCATAAGGCTGCTTTAGCAGCTACTTTTGGTTTTTCTAAAAGAAGAAACATTTTTTAGTTCCTGGTTTTGTCATTACTTTTGAAATCATTTCAGATTATCTGTTCTCTAGTGTAATTGTGATATCACAATGGTTCTCCGTGCATTATCACGTCCACCTTTTGAACCTTTGGGGTCATATCACTATATCATCATTCATTCACTTAAAATATATTTTCTTTTGTTATTGGCTAGCAGGTGTTGACATTCAGATGTGTTTGTACTTCACATTCACAGGACACTGTACCATTCCAACCAAGTTTTGTTGTATACAGACAGGTCCTTTCTACCTGATATTGCAGCTAGGGAAGGAGATAAGGCTTTTTTTTTCTATTTGTCTTCCCTCTATTTTCCATTTATACAAATGTTCAGATCTAGATCATCTTTTATACCTCTTTGATGCTATGTGGCATGCATTAAAGCATTTTGAGGCTCACATCACTGGTTATTTATCCATTTGGATCCTTCGGTATCATGCAACTTATCCAAATAGGTTTGTCAGTTGGTTCGGATAGCTTACTCTTGTTTTTCATTGGAGGAGTGGAGACTTCTTTGGGTTTCATCTCATCAAGTTTGCCATATATCAATGTCTCAGGCAGCTCGGTTGCATTGCCTGCTGGAGGAAATTGTACAAGCTGGTATGTGGACCACAACTAACACCTTTATATTGCACTATTTACACGACTTAGAAGTCTCCTCGGATGGGTTTTGGCTACACCTGTGGCTATTTTACAAGCCCAGACTCGATTGTGACAGAGGTGATTTTTTTTCTTTTGTGCTCCTTTTCAAAAACCTTCTCATTATTCTCATTTGGATCCCATTCAGTGGCAACTGTTGGTCAGGTATGCATTTACAAGTCTGCAATAGCTACCAGTAGGCTAAAAACTAAATTACTGGTAGCCACAAGCTCTGTGAAGATGGGGTGTTTCATAAGACTGCCTTGGTGCTTTCCAGGAGGTGAACAATTGTTCTCTATCAAATATAATATATAGTATTGGACTGCCACTCCTGGACTGTCATGAGTAAAGCATAAAGCATGGTTTTCTTTTCAAAATATGGAACGTGATTCACCTATTGCACTGTCTCCTGAACATTGTTCCTCAAGACTCCCCAATGCGAGTTTCCACCCTCTATTTCTAGTGGAGCAAGAAAGTCCTTACCACTCTGTTTCCAGTCACTGGAGAGGTGGACAGATATTTATTCCTCCTGAGTGATGTTTGTACTCTTTATTCCACTCAAGGAGAAGAGAGCAAAGCTAGATAGCCTTAACCCTGTATGGTTTTCCCAAATGTCTGTTGGGGAGCTGGACCAGCCTATGCAAGAGCCTCCTCATAATTCCAGTTCATAGATGCCACTTTGCTTTCTGGTTGTGTGAGTGTGGTCTTTCTTTTTGGCTATTCTTATACTTTCTTTGATTATGGAAGAGTGTCATTGACTACTTGTAATTCTTTCTGTATGTGGAGTGTCATGTCTGAGAGCCATTGGTTGAATTTTGTTTGTTCCACACCTTCCTTGTAATTTTGGGGACAGGAGGTGTTGCCTTGCCTCCTAGGTTGAGGAGTTAGGATCTCAGTTCATAATCCCAGACTGGATGATTTCAGGTTGAGTGAGGTGTGAATTGGCGCAGGTTGGGGAGAAGACTTGTCCAGTTGGGTGGTACTTTCCTTCCCCTTGTAATTCTGGTGGCTTGCATGTAACATTCTGTAA